TGGTGGATTTTTCTAGGCCAGCAATTTTCTCTTCTACATCTGAGATTCTATTTTCTGTATGATCTAGTCTGCTTTTAATACTTTCAAGGGAGATTTTGACTTCTTGTATTATAGCCTTCATCTCTAACAGTTCCATCTGATTCTTATGTAAAGTGTGAAATTCCTCTTTTAGATGTTGCATGAATTTCCTCACCTCCTGGAACTCTTCAGCTCCTTCCTCCTTGCTCTTCAGCAGTTCCTTGTCTCTCTTCTCTTCCATCTCTGTAAGCTTTGCCATTATGAATGTTCTGAATTCTTTATCAGACATTTCCATGATTTCCATTGAACTGTGTGTGGATGAAGAGGAGTTATCCTTTTCCCTTGGAGGAGAGGTATTTTCCTGCTTCCCCATATTTCTTGTGGTCCTGCAGTGATTTCTACTCACCTGGTGGATGGTCAATTTCTGCCCAAACTTGGAAGTTCAATCACGCGAGTTTTGTATGCCAGAGGCCAAATTATCGGTGGGACCTCTTCATTTCTCCGTTTCGCCCAAAATGTCTAGATCGCAGGAGCCATGGAGCTGTCTCTTGCAGAAACTCTGTCTCTCTCTTTCTAGTGACCGCATGTGCCGTAGAACAAAAACCTTTCTTTCCACAGTGAGCACAGTATTAAAAACTGGGGCATACACCGACATCACTCCATGTAGCAAAACTCTGTGGGTTGGTGGGAGTTTCCCACCTTCTCTGCTCTCTCGCTGGTGCCCAGCAGCTGGAGCAGTAATCACAGAAAGGTCTGGAGAGGCGGTAGCAGGGATGAGGGCAGCAGCTGCTGCAGCCACCGCTGGCCCAGGGGGCAAAATAAAACTTTCAAACTAAAACTTTAAGGAAGCCAATAAGTCCCAAAGTAGACTGGTTCTTTGTGTAAATACGAGATTCCAGTGTACCTGAGTCAGTGGGTTTGTGAAACTGACAAGAGCAAATGCCAATCAAATAAATAGTCTGTATTTAGATAACCCAGGTAATAGTTCAGTGGGAAGTTCTTCTAGTAATTAAGTTCAATTCTCCCTTGAACAGGGAAAGCAACAATTTGGCTGTGATTTTTTTTTTTAAGGAAAATCTGCAAACCGCCCAGCAAGAAACACCTTCGCCGGACAAAACAGAGAGTCAAGGAGACTGAACATTCCCGCGGTCCCCACTAAAACTATTCAACAATGAAAGTGATGAAGCAACAAAATAATTATTTTTTATTACTGTGAGGTAACTTTGGAAAACACTGTAAAAACCCCAAAAAATGTTAACAAAATAATCCACATTTATGAGAATAATTATTCTTTTGGAAAGAAGAAAGACTATAAAATCATATCTAAAACTACCTAAAATTTTTACAATAAAGTAAAATAAAAACTATACATGGTGAAGGCACAGGACTGCCCCATGGCCAGGTCCAGGACTCAGATCACAGCCAATCATGTGGGAGTCTAGCATCTTAAACACCACACCCCCTGCTGGCCCCTCCATTTACTTCTAATTGGCATGTCATGTAAACCTTCGTGATATTCTGAAAATTTAAAGAGGATTTTACATTGAATCATCCAGTTCATCATGCCTTAGATTTACAGGTATGCACACTTCTATACTTAGTCTTTTATTTTTTTTCTTTTGAGAGGTTTTTGCTATAGGGCACGTGCGCTCGCCAGACAGAGAGAGACAGAGAGACAGAAAGAGAGAAATCACCCCCCAGGGGGGATGGCCATGCCACAATCCCTTCTCCTCCATTCTCCTCTCAGGATCTTGGGCACACACACAAACATGCCTGGTGTGAGTTTTAAGCCACCGGGTCCAGGATGCGAACCCCGGTCGACTACATGGGAGTCCAGAGACATAGCCATTACGCTAACTGCTGGTCCCTATACTTAGTCTTTAATCTTAAATAAATGGAATTAGCAACTCAGCATAAACCTCAATAGCGTAGTATAACATTACACAGTTTATGTGATGCATATTATTATAATCATTGGAAACAAAACCTAGGAAAAGCAAATACTTTTTATTACTGTTCAAGGAATGTTACTTCTCATTATTTCCTTAAAAAGGAATTTATAAAACCATTTACCTGTAGATGGACAATCCTTTGAAATATATCTTCTCTCATGCTCATCTCAATATCAAAACGAGAAAGTCTTTTGTCTGCTTCTGTGCTTGCTGCCCGTACGTCTTTGTCAGAGGATACGTGCTGAGGAAAGTCTAGCATGGTTCTTTCCACTGTTGATAGGGAAATAACATCATGAGTCCCACAAGATTTGTCAAATCAGTATTCAGCCAAATACCTCCTACCTAGTGAATGACTACACAGATATAATATTTTTATTTTATACTTTCTATCAAGAATGAGCATCCAGTGCAGAACTTGGCAGTTCCAGCTAGCATCATTATGAACAAAAAGGATATGCACTGGGACCAGCAGTTGGCATAATGGCTATGTTGTTGGACTCCCATGTAGTCAACCGCGGTTTAAGTCCCAAACCTGGTGGCTTAAACTCACGGCGGGTGCCTGTGCATACGTGCCCAAGATCCTGAGAGGAGAATGGAGGAGAAGGGATTGTGGTGTGGCCATCTCCCTAGGGGGATTTCTTGCATTCTGTCTCTCTGTTTCTCTCTGGCTTTCTGAAGAGTGCACACGCCCTATAGCAAGAACCTCTCAAAACGCCCTAAAGAAAAAACCCATAAAAAAAAAAAAAAAAAAAAAAAAAAAAGAAAGAAAGAAAGAAAGATGTGCACTGAGTACTTCTCAAATTAAATTTAGGGGATGTTATCAATTGAAAATGAAGATAGATAAACACATAGTTCCTACACTGAGGCATCACATGATTTGGGCTGGGGTAGGAGTAAGGGTGCATAAAAAGACAGAGAACGGTACAGGATAATGTGTGCTAGTTGTCAAATAAACAGGATACTAACTTGGGGCAGTAACTACCAAGGGCCAGGGCACTAGAAGATCCTGGGTTTTGGAGAAACTTGGACCTTAGAGGAGAAAGGGCACAGTAAGTGAGTTTTAAGCCACCGGGTGGGGTTGGAAAAGGAGAGACTACAGGCATGAGAACTCACCGCGTCAAAGGATGTTGAAGAAATAAGCAGACCACCTCAGTGGGATGGGGCTTGTTTATAATAGAACATCTTAATCTTGTTTTTCCTTATATACTTCTCAGATAATCTAACCCTACCCCAAATACATTCCTGCATATTAACACAGATAGGTCTATGCAATTTCCCAGAAATCTTAGTGGACATACCTAGTAATCAGCTAGATATTGGGGATATTCCTGTTAAACAATGATGGTAATTTGCTCTGCTCTAATCTTCACATATTAAAGTTCTTCCCTGACTTTTTTCTACATTTGTATTTTGATCTCAATTTAGCAAAATCCTTTGGTGTCAGTGAAATGATCAAACTACAGAGTGAAATTGAGTATGGCTTATAGTGATGGTTGTAGCTATGCTGTTTTAATTTTTAATATCGTTGGTATTTTAAATATATTATATAATAGGTAAAATTTACATATGCACTATATGGTAGACAAAAGAGGTACCCTGCACATGCCAAGGGACAAGCTGTCTTACTAACATCATTCCTCTTAAAACACTGTTAGAAATGAAGTTGTTAAAATCTGCTACAGGCCTGGCCTTGTAGTATGGCAGTTAAGTGCTGTGCACGGGGAGCTGGATCTCACACACCTGACCATGGCATGATCTGGGCCTTAGTGGCTTGAAAAAGAAGCATGCCAGTCATATGTGCATGTGTGTCCAAGGTTCTCATGGGATAGGGAGGTTGAGGAGGGTGTATTATAGTGTAGTTATGCCCTTTTGGGGAATACTTTCTCTTTCTCTCTCTCTCTGGCAAGCACCAGTGTTCACAGGCAAAAAACCCAAACCAAACCAAACCAAACCAAACCAAACCAAACCAAACCAAACCAAACCAAAACAAAAGCCTGCCATGAAAATCAGAATAATTCATGATGTATATTTCAAAGTCACATTATATAATTACATTTTTAGGATTTGTTTTAATATATAATTTATGCCTGTTCATTAAGAAAGAATTGAACAGAAAATCTTAGAAATTTAATGCATTCAGTATTTATGTGATATAGTTGCAATTTGTTCATTTTTAAAAATTAGCTTAAAAAGATATGAAGAAGGCATCAAAACTGCTCAAGAACGCAAATGAACAACATAAAACACAGAAGCCTAAAACTGGAAACATACTTTCCAACAAATAATGCTGAAAGTCATTTCCTTCCTTACTTTGCTGCCAAGTTCTAGAACCAGATTACGTTCTCAGTGCCACCCTGTAACGAGTGCTGATACTGTTCGTGAAACAGGACAAAGAAAGTCTTCACCATTATTGCAGGAGGCGTGATCAACTCTCAGAACTTGCACAGATAAGAGAAAGTTAGCTTTCACAAGATCTATTTCCAAACCCCCAACTTTTCTGGATTAACCCTCAAAGATACATTAATAGAAGAGCAAGAACGAATATCACAAACCTGAATATATGTTTAAAAGATCTAGTATTGGGAAAATAACAGAAGTGAAAATAATTCTTTTTTTAAAAGATGATTCCTTTCCTCCATGAGAAAGAGAAAGAGGGACGGACAGACAGTCACCTCCAATAGGGCCTGCACGTTACCATCTGCCTGCAGCCTCAGCCAGCCAGGATCACAAGTATGCTCATACTGGTGTGCACAGGAGACCTCAGGACACGAACCTGGGACCTTCTCACATGGTCCCGGCATTTCAGAACATTGCATTGCTGCTGTGTCACTACAGCTGGCCCCCTCCTTTTTTTTTTTTTCTTAAAGAAAAAGAAAAACTTTGTTTACCCTGAAATATTTCAGACACAATTTGCTTTTTTAAAAAATAATTACTTTTTAAATTTAATTTAATTTATTTATTCATTTATTCTTAATTTGAGCAGAGAAAGACACAGAGAGAGATAAAGAGAGAGAAGGAAACTGAGAAAGCAAGCCATCAGGTCCGGAACCCGCACCGTGGTCGGCCATGTGGGAATGTCTAGCACCTTAGCCACCATACCACTTGCTGGTCCCCAGACACAATTAGCTTTTAAAGTTAACAACTGTGGTGGGTATTGTTTGTTTGGTATTAGTTTTGTTGTTTTCCAGAGAGGGCACTTCACTGTGACCTTCCTGTCCAAGTCTCCCAGGTAGTTAGGACTGCAAATTCACGTCACCATACCCAGCTCAAAAAAAATTATTTTTTTAATTTCTAGAAGGTGCATGAAATTGCCAGAGAAAGACAGGCAGAGAGAGAAAGCACTCCCCAGTGGGGTATGACCTTGCCACAGACCTTTCTCTTCCATTACTTCATCCCATTGGATTTTGGGCACACATGTCTGGTATTTTTCTCAATCCACTGAGAGGGCTAGGCCATGGGAGATACACTCACTTAGCCATTAGCCCACAGGACTGGCCCTCTTTTTTTTTTTTTTAAAGTATACTTATTACTCCCAAGAGGGGCAGAGAGAGAGAGAAGAGAGTTTCCATGCCACAATCCACTCCAGCCTCAGCCAGTCCAGGTCATGGGAATACAGGCATGCCCAGTACATACGGGAGGCCCTGGGACACAAACTTGGGGACTTTCCCATGTGTGTCCAGTTGGGTTACCACTGTGTCACCATCTGGTCCCAAATAATTCCTTTTCTTGTCTTTTTTTTCCTTCCCTGAAGACAAAGTGTCGCAGTGTCCAGGTTAGCTTTAATCGCGGTCATCTTACCTCACCCTCTGGAGAAGCGGAGATTATAGGTACACACTACTGCACTCAGCTCTAAAAGAATTCTTTAAAAAATATCCGCCCCCAGCTGATTTTTATCTAAGTCACATACATAAAGAACTAGGCTGGCTCACTATCCTAAACATATATTACTTAAGGAGTGAGCCCCAGGGCTGAGGGCAAACTCACACAGGGTAGGACATACACATAAAGCCACCTGCTAGAAAAGCTCTGCTGAACAGGGACCAGCTCCGCTCCTTGGGCTTTGACTAACATGACCACCAGATCCTTTTATTCTGTGGTTGAAACTCGAGACTTGTAACAAGATTTAGTGGTCATAAATGAGAGTGAAGTAGTTGAGAGTAGGGACAGAACTGAAACAAATACAGAGGAAATGGGCAAATCTGGTAACTATAGAATATAGGGTAGGGAAGTATTGAGGATAAGGGATTAGCAGAGGCAAAGAGATGACTGGGAACTGTGCTCAGTGTGACATCCTTACGAATTCCAGAACACCTACAAGTGTTTACAAAATGCAGCTCTAGGGCTACCTTATGTTCTTAGGAAGCCTAGAGACAAAGCCACGCTTGTAACCATAATTATCTTGCAAAATATGTCCAACCCTTAGGGGTAATCTAAGTGAGCCGCATCCCTTTTATTTATTTATTATTTTATTTTTGGAGAGGTTTTTGCTATAGGGCGCATGTGCTCACCAGAAAGACAGAGAGAGATAGAGACAGAAAGTGAGATCTCACACCCGGGGGGGGTGGCCATGCCACAATCTCTCCTCCATTCTCTCTTGGGATCTTGGGCATACAAGCACACGCTCCTGGCATGAGTTTAAGCCACCAGGTCCAGGACTCAAACTGTGGTCGACTACATGGGAGTCCAGCGACACAGCCATTACGCCAGCTGCTCGTCTGAAGGGACATACACATAAAGGACATACACATACACTTGAAGGGTCTAATACATTATGAAAATAATACATGTTCAGTGTGCAAAATACAGAAAATAGAAAAATGCATAATGAGGACTGTTAATTATGCAAACCTACTACCTAAGAACTACCATGGATGTTAATTCTGCATGCTAACATAGAGAGTACTTTCCTGAGAAGATTAACATTTAAGCCACTGAATGTGAAGTACAGCACCCACGCATAGCATGGGAGGGCCTCCTCCAGTTAGTAGAGGGCCTGAGTAGAACAAAAAGACCCACATCTCTGAGCAAGGGAGAATGCTCGAGCAGATTCTTAGGACTTCATTTGTACCATTAGTTCTCCCGGGTCTTTAGTCTGTTGGCTCACACTATAGATTTTGGACTTGCCAGCCTTCATAATCACATGAGCCAATTCTCTACAATAAATCTCTCTCTCTCTCTCTACATGTACACATGCATGCACACACACACACATTCTGTTGGTTCTCTTTCTTTAAAGAGTCTACCTATGCAGTCAGAAAAGTCATGATGCATTTTTACACAAAAAAAAACCCCAGAAAAATACGAGGGAATAGGAGATAGCTTAACGGTTACATCACTAAGCTCCCATGTAGTCAACTGTGGTTCACGTCCTGAACCCAGAAGCTTAAAACTCATACCAGGCACCCGTATGTGCATGCCAAAGATCCTGAGAGGAGAATGGAGGCGAAGAGATTGCCCATCCCCCTTGGGGGGGATCTCTTGCTTTCTGTTTCTCTGTCTCTCTCTCTCTCTCCAGTGAGTACACGTACCCTACAGGAAAAAATCTCTTAAAAAAAAAAAAAAAAGTCTTGACTTTTTCAATGACCAAATAATATAACTTTTCTTAAAATCTGCTTATCTTTTTTCAATTTGCTTTCTGTGTCCTCTTCTACTGTTATTAAATACTGTTTCTAAATATGATTTTAATGGCTATGTATAGTATTAAAGAGGATGGCTGTAGTAATTTATTTATT